GGTCTCACACTGTAGTTCAGGTGAGCCTGGAACTTCCTGTGTAGCCCACCAAAGCTTGCCTCTTAGATCAATCCTTCTGGCTGCAGATACAGGTGTCAGTCACTGTGCTGGGGTTATCTTGTATATTTTTCAATAAGGATACATAGCCACAATTTATAAATGGTGAAACACAAGTGTACACTTTAATAAAATAACTGGAAGTACATATATTGGCTAACAAACCTTATTACTGATAAAGGATGGCAAACAACTGAGTTTATTGACCACTTGGTCTTTTCCTGTGGCCAAGTGAGCCTGTCAGTCATGAAGCCCAAACTCCATCCTGGGAACCTGCTCCTGTTACACATGGGGCTGTGAATTTCTCTGCATTGCTTATTTCTTTCTTGTTCTTTCATATCCTCCTCTTTTCTAGTTTCTTTTCTTACCCAGAAGTTTCTCTTAAATGGCATTTATCCCATCACCAGAGACATTTCCAAGTTCCAGCTTGAGTGGAGTCCTCCCTGAATGTTCTCTGTAGTCCTTACTACTCACTCAGCCCCTGCTGTTTTCTGTGTCTCTCACATGGTCATGCCTTTACACCAGGTCTCACCCTCTGACTTCACTTTGAGCTCCTTTGGCATTTCTCTCTCATGTATCATTTATCTGTAGACACATACCTAAACTTTGTGGATGATACTAATAGACTTATTTTTTAACCACATTAATACATATTTTTTAAAGATATATTTATTATGTATACAATATTCTCAGTATTCCGCCTGCATGTATGCCTGCACACGAGAAGAGGGCACCAGATCTCATTACAGATGGTTGTGAGCCACCATGTGGTTGCTGGGAATTGAACTCAGGACTTATGGAAGAACAGGCAGTGCTCTTAACCACTGAGCCATCTCTCCAGCCCCAGTACATAATTCTTTACTCCAAGGAAAAGGGTCATTTGTTAGCTCCATAACCTGACCTCAGCTTAGGGCACATGTCTGGTGTGCACTAATGAGATTTTTTTGTGTGTGTGTAGAGATTGTTTTTCTTTGGCTCTGGGTGACATAAAGGCATAGTCTAAATGTTGAATACAGCTAGAGTTCTGAATTCTGCATGGCCTTCTGGGAATGTCTTGCTAGTAGGAGAAGCTGTGGAGCACACAGAGCATGGCACTGCCTCCTTGCATGTGAATATCATTGTTGTACACTCCATCAGACTCTGGGTCAGTATGCGTGTGCATGTTTAAGTGCTCTGTACTGCAGGTGCCTCTTGAGGTCAGAAGAGAGCATTAGATCATTTGGAGCTGAATTTACAGGTAGTTGTGAGTCACTTGATGTGGGTACTAGCAGCCAGATACTTGTAACCACTCAGCAATCTCTGCCTGCCCCATTGTTTTAAACCTGGGTCCTATAACCCGCTGTTGGAATTCGATTGAGCTATTTAACTTCTCAAGTCATTTAATTATCTTAGTAATCTATGTCAGAGTTATGAGGCTTCTTTAGACTGATGTTTTAGGACAGTGCTGTCTCCCTAGGAGGTGCCCCTTACTTTCTCTTTAAAAGAGGAGTTTCCTTCTTCCCTTGTGAGCCCTCTACTGTACAGTGTTTTTAGTATAAACAGACTCAGAGGAGAGTGTACTAAGCTTAGATTTGAGGCTCTTGGGTTGGCCTGCTTTCTGCCTTGTCTCTATGGCTTCCCCAGAGGGTATGAAGATTAATTAGTTAATGTTTGTAAAGTGCCTTAGGTGGAAAGTGCTATGTAAGTGGAATAACGGTTGAGTTGCCATTGGAGATGTAATAATGATGGCTCCATAGTCTGGCAGTCTTGCCTGTCTCAAACATCAATAATCAATAGCAGAAAGTTTTAAGATATTTTGCTTGATTTGAAAGAAAGGATTCAGTTTTCCATTTATGATAATACAGTTCTTTCTATTGTCCTGTAGATAGCAGTTTGCTACTTCTTCCCAGCTGAGGAATGTCAGAGTCCTTAGGAAGCAGTGGTTGGGCTCAGTCAGTAAGAGGCCTGCTGTATGAGTATGAGGACCTGAGTTTGATCCTCATTCAAAAAAGCCAGGCACAATGGTGTGTGCCTGTAATTCCAGTGCTGGAGAGGCAGAGATAGGAGGATACTAGCCAGTCTAACCAAAGTGGCAAGCCCCAGGTTTAGTGGGAGACTCTGACTCAAAACAATTAGGTGGAGAGCAATTGAGAAAGATGCTAGATATGTGTCCACATGCACACACATGTATGCACTTACACACACACACAGAATGGTCATCTTCAGGACTCTCCTACTAAAGCAGTCTGATTATAAATTCTGACCAGCTTAGATAGAGGGACAGCTGGCCAACTGGGCACCAACTATTTTCAGTCTATTCCACACAAGTGAGGGAAGAGGGTTTCATGATTGTTCAGTGACTTGAACCATAACGAATTCAGCCTAGGCAGCTTATCTGTGGGCCCCTAAGCAGGCCACTTCTGAGCTTAATTTTCTTAACTGTTACATGGCATCGTGGCAGTTGGAGAACACAAAGGTGGTAAGTTTAATCTTTTCTGGGAAAGTTGAGGGACCAGGAAAGGTTCTTGGGACCAAGAGTATATGAGTAGACTCAGTAGGCTGCAATTGCCAGGTTATGAAGGGCAACTGGAATAGTAGTTCTCTCTGTTAGGAAATGGTAGCTGCAGCAAAAGGAATAGCATGTGGCTGTGCAGGGTCCAGTGCTCCCAGTGTCCCATTCCCAATTGCATAATGTTTCCAGTACCCTGTGGGCTATACAGACTTGGTTCTTGTCATAGTCAGTGTTCTATTGCTGTGAAGAGAGACCAGTACCACAGCAGTTCTTATAAAAGAAAGTGTTTAATTGGGACTGGCTTCTAGTTCAGAGGTTTAGTAGACTCATTGTCATCATGGTGGGAAACCTGGTGGCACACAGGCAGATATGGTGCTGGAGAAGTAGCTGATAGTTCTACATTTGGATGAGCAGGCAGCAGGAAGAGAGAGATACTGGGCCTGGCTTAATCATCTGACACCCCAAAACCTGCCTCCACTGACATACTTCTTCCAACAAGGCCACACCTACTAATATTGCCATTCCCTGGTGACCAAGCTTTCAAATATAAGAACCTTTGAGGACCATTCCTATTCAAACCACTACAGTCCCCTATCCTAGGAAGCCTGGAAGATTTCTGTGTATCTGTCTTAGTGCCTGCTAGCAGGCTGAACCTAAGAATTTATCCCTACAGAGCCCCATATGTTTGTGGTCTCCTGACACTTCTGCTATCATCTTGGGCTGTTTCTTAGCTGACACTGGAAGCCATATGTTTCGTGTGGGGCCAGATGAAGTTTTGATACCAAACACAGTAGCTTTGTCTTAGATTTAATATGCATTACTCGATGTTTTGTTTCTTAAGCAGAATTTTCTTTGTTAAAATAAACACAGATAAAGAATTTATATGGCGCACATGGCTATGCATATTTATTGCAGAGAATCTGTTAATAATCTATGCCTTGTCGGATTTTGAAATTCTGTTGGAATAACAAAGGCAGCACTTGGTACAACTGAATGAATTTGGTGAAATCTCTCTTATCTGGGGAATGAGAGGCCGTTGCTCCTTTTCCAAACCTCATTTTCTTCTGTCATCTGCAGTGCTGGCTGGCTTCCCACATGGTGCTGGGGAACTGAATGCATTTCTGGCTCCAAATAGCTCTTTACAATTTTCTCCTCTTGCTCCCTTTCTTCCAGCACACAGATATGCTTGCCTTGGACTGTTAGGATTGCTCCTTTGGGTAAAAGAGGAGTCCTTATGTTACTAGGAGGGGCAAACAGGAAACCAGCATTGAGTTAGGGGGAAAGCTCTGAGAGATTTGAGGAATGGGAAGCTTCAGTCAGGATACAAGGCCCTGGATTGGATAGGAGGGAGGAAAGTTGAGACCAGACATCTGGGCAAAGCAGAAGGAGGGGTGGTGGGTCTAGGAGGGAGTGGGTGGGCCACCAGCTTGGTTGGCATTTACCCATGAAGCCATCTCTATGCAAGAATATCATAAGCCTGAGACTCTTCCTCAGAGTCTGACTGTGGTCCTCTCTACATGTTTGTTTTTGGGAGAATTCTTTAGCTTCTCTGAACTTCAGTTCCCACTTATGTGAACAGATGAATATTCAAAGTTTCTTTTTTCTTAAAAAAAAAAAAGAAACTCTGCCTGTGTGTGCTTGCATGTGTGCTCATATGCACGCACCCGCATGTTTGTGAGAGTGTGGGCCCATGTGTTCCATGGTTACAGGCCAATCTTGGATGGTCTTCCCCTTTTCCCTGGTTTGAGACAGTCTCTTGTTTACTGTTGTGTGTGCCAGGCTGCCTAGCTTTGTAGGCTTCTAAGCATTCTCCATCACTGCCTTCCATCTCTCCATAGGAGTGCTGGGATTGCAGACGTGAACTACCTCATCTGATTCCTGACATGGGTTCTGAGCATCTGAACCCAAGTCCTCATACTAACATGGCAAGAAATCTGAGCTACCCCCCAACCCAATGCTTGTATGGAAGTTTCTGTCTCACCAAGTCCCACAGCCATTCAGTCCCAAAGAAACACACAAAGGCTTATATTAATTATAAACTGTTTGGCCTATTAATTCAGGCTTATTATTAACTATCTCTTACAACTTAAATTAACCCATAATTCTTGGCTATATTTAGACATGTGGCTTGGTACCTTTTCTAAATGAGACATTCTCATCTTGCTTCCTCTGCATCTGTTTAGTGACTGACTCTCTGCCTTTCCTCTTCCCAGAATTCTTTTAGTCTGGTTGCCCTGCCTATACTTCTGCCTGGCTACTGGCCAGTCAACATTTTGTTAAACCAATACAAGTGACAAATCTTTACAGTGTACAAGAGCATCTCACAGCAAATGCTCACGTTCTTTATTGAAACATAATGAAATAAACATTCACAATTTTACTAGTGACCCTTTGCTTACCCTTGAGAGCATCTGGAGAATGTAACCTTCATTCATATTATATTTGTTTGCAGAAACTGGCAAGGTGTTTACCTGGGGTCGAGCAGACTATGGTCAGCTAGGGCAGAGGTTGGAGTCTCCTGATGGCCAGAAACCCCACAAACTAGATTCATCGCTTGCCTTTTGGAGGCTACAAAACAGTGTGCCTTTGCCTCTGCATTGTCTGACAGGAGCAGCCAAGGTAAGTAGTGACTTCCTGCAGAGGCAGTGTGGTGCTTTTCTTGTCTCACAGTGAAGGGTTTCCTGGGGGCTACTATAAATCAGGTGTTATCATCTGTTCATATAGTAATCTGAAGGGGTTCTTGCTCACAAGAAGCTAATGGGTTAATATAGTAGAAAAGTTGGGTTTTGGTTACTTAGGTATCACTCACTATAAGGCAGACTGTGTAACTCATTTAATGAGGTTCAGAATCTAGTATTCCAGGTACACTGGCAGGAGAACTTGGATTCATTGGAGGGATTGACTTGAGTTTGAGAATGGCATGGGTTTGAGGTATGCCTTGAGGGATGAATAGGGCTTAAGCAAGCACTTGGAAGAGAGAGGAGGACTTTTAGGGATATAACAGCTTAAACAGTCATGCAGGGTAGAATGTGAGGAAAATGTATGAGGGCTCTAACAGTTAAATTGGCTAGGGCATGGAACCCTGAGGAGGTAATATCAAGAGTTGGGAAGTGGCTGAAACCCAACCTAGGAGGCTTTAAAGACAAGCTAAATATTCTGCACCTCTGTTTATATTTCCCAAGGAAGAAAACGCTATAGCCCACTTGCTTATTCAAGCAGCTTTGGTTCTCTGAAGTATCCTGAAGTTCTACATTTAAGGCAGGAATCTTAATTTATTCAGGGTGTATGTTTCTGGCTCTTAATTTTACTTTACTGGTGTCTTTTTGTTTGTTTTCCAACATAATATTTTTATTGATTTTTTTGGGGGGGGAATTCACATCATGCACCCCGATGGCTCACTTCCCAGTCCTCTCAGGTCTGCCCCTCATCCTTGTGACATACCCTCCAAAAAAAGAAGAAAAACAAAACAAAACAACAACAACAACAACAAAAAAAGTCCAATTTGTGCTACCCATATACTCACTAGAGCATGGTCAAACTCCCAGTGACCAGCCCCTAAAAGAAATCTGAGTCCAAAACTGAGTCCTAGGTGGTTAGAAGAATGGGCATCAAGAACTGTTGTCTCTGAACTGGAATTAGTTTAATGAAGGAATTTAGTCTTCACTCAGAATCTGTCAGAAAAATTAATAATCTAGTAAGATTTCTGTAATTAGCATGAAGCTAATTACAACCCTCTCTACACCTGGAGGGCTTCCCTTCCCCAGGGCCACCTGGCTACCTCCTCTTGGGTTTGTCAGATGGTTCCATTTATTCTTCACATCCTAGCCCTCATTCTCCTGAGCCTTTCGTAAGTGCAAGCTTGAGGTTTTCCTTTTCTTTCTTCTTCTCCCTTTGACTGATAATGCACTAAAAAGACAGTATGTATACAGCAGTAGCAATAACCCCACTCACAATCTTCTACCCTAATAAAGCACATTCTTCTCGCATGTGCACCAGTGAATACTTGTTAAAGCTCACGTAGATAGTAATGTTATTCACTCCAGCCTTTGTTATTACAAATACTGTTTCATTTCCTCTGGTCTTAGAATGATTATTTAAAACACTACAGAGAGGCAGTGAGGTGACTCTGTCGGTAAAGAAGCTTGCCACCAAGCCTTGCTGACATACAGGTCACCACATACATACACAAAATAAATAAACATTAAAAAAAGTTTTTATAAGGGGATATCTTACACTACTGACTGGAAGGTTCTGAGACTTTCTAAACCATTCTTTGTTTGTTTGCTTGTTTTTATTTTTTGAGACAGGGTTTCTCTGTGTAGCCTTGACTGTCCTGGAATTCACTCTGTAGACCAGGCTGACCTTGAACCCACAGAGATCCTCCTGCTTCTGCCTCCTGAGTGCTGAGATTAAAGGCATGCACCCACCACCACCTGGCTCTAAACCATTCTTTAGACAGATAATTTCCTTTTTTTAAATTTATTTATTCACATCACTGCTGTTGAATTGTGCTGTGAAAGCCGGTAGATCTGCTCCCTTGAGATGGACTCCTGGGGAAATTCAAGGGCAGCAGCCTTGAGCATCTCTATGATGTCTACTGTGTCTCTCTAGGTTCTGTTTGGTTCTACCAGTGAGTGAGTAAGGGACTGGAGTATTTATCTCTTCTGCATAGTGTATTCAGTTGCAGAGCGCATGGTACATAGTGTGGTAGCATTTATCATTCCTTGTCCTTCCCATGTCATTTGAAACTTTGGTGGCATAGTAGGAAAGGCACTGGGGCCTCATCATTTTCTCTGTGTCTGGTTCTGTTGGCAAGATGCAGGTCATAATTTCTAAGGTGGACCTTGTGTAATCCATAGTGTGTTGGTGAGGATAGCATGCGTAGTTCATGGCAGTCTGTGAATATTTGGTAACTGTTGGTTACCCTGTCTTCTGCAAGAAGCATTCAGTGACCTGTGTTGGCCCAATATGCCACCTGCTGCAGACACAGACAGTACAAACATGGCCCCTGTGAACCTAGTGTGACATGACTAGGTACAAGTACTGAGGTTGAATCTAGGGCCTTGTTGTGCTTGTATATGCTAGGCAGGTGCCCTACCACTGAGATATATCTCCAGTCCTTTTTTATACTTTTTATTTTGGAATGAGTTCTCCTCATGATTCTCCTGCCTTGGCCTCTTAAAGAGCTGAGATTATAGACCTGTGCCATCAGGTTCAGCAGGTGTGACTTTCAGGAGCAAGATAAGGAATTGACTTGAATCCCCTTTCCCTCCCTTAGCAGCTACATTTGAAGTTTTCTTCTCCTTTTTTGTTTCGGGCTCTGGGGTTGATATGCACCCTGGGGTCTCTATGCAAGTTCGGACTCCAGGCCACTAGATGTTGATAAACTGTGTTTATGTGTTGTCTCCTGTCAGTACCTGTATTTGGCTTCTTTAGCATCTGTTTGCCAGAGGCCCAGGGAGAGTGAGGCTGGTAGGCTGTTAAAAACTGGTAAGTTTTGGTGGGTTTGCTTTAGAAAAGATAAAAGCCATATTAAGCTAGGTGCTACCATGGCCAGGGACTTGGATGGAGTAGGGATGTAGGGACATCTGGAGAGGCATGAACACCCTGGAGTAAGCTGACAGTTCTTGACCTTCAGGGGCCTAAGTGTGACACACACAGCTGACCACTGCCTTTAATTTCCATAAATTATTTTTCATGTCCAAGGGATAAGAGGAAGGAGTGAGCTGTCTGTGCTGAAGCTGCGTAGGACATCTGCAGAGAAGGGAAATCATAGGCAGGCGGAGCTGGACTACAGTATAACTTTCTTTTCTGGTGAGCAAGGACAAGTAAACACAAATGAGACTGCACGCTAGTCAAAGCTTTGTGAATAAGGAGTGCAAGACCCAGGATGGGGTTTCAAAAGTGGGCCAGGACTCAAGGTACCAGCAACTCTTGCATCCCTTCTCTTTATGTGAAGCACATCCTTTTAAAATGTGCCCTTTCCCTGGATGAAAGTTTCGGAAGTGTGGGTGACAGAGCCTCTAATACCCTGAAAATTTAGATTCTTTTATTCTAAGCAATGTCTCATCTGGGGATGGATCTTACTTGAGATTATAGTCGGGGTGGTCTTCCTTTAACATGGTGAGGTTGTGTGTCTCCCACACTATCTGTTTTTACATGCTGGGTCTCTAGCCTCTCTTGGACAGTTCCCGGTGTCGCATAGTGGTCAGGATTCACCTCATGCACACGTCAGCACAGTGTGTGAGAGGCTTTGTTTGTGACTGTGAGCACACATCACAGTAGCCTTTTGCTTCCTAAGCCCCAAGTGGGCTGTTGCACATTTCTCATGGGCACTGGCTCTGACTTGTACCCCAAGGTGGAACCCTGCATTTCACAGTTGAGAAGTACTTGGGCTCATTTAGTGGGATCATAGGGGCCTCGGCAGCTGGAGTTGATAACCTGGCTTGCCTTTGGGGTTCTGGGGTAAGAACCAAGTTGTGGCTTAGTGTTGGGTCTCACTCTGATTCTTCCCTGATGGTGAATTTGGGTAAGCTCTTCTCCTGTGTTCCTAGTTTCCCAGGATGCAGGTTGGTCCAGATGATTCTGACTGAGTCTCTTTAATCTCACTCTTTTATTTCTTGGCCATGATACTCCTGAAGCTCATGACAACTTTGGCTTCTGGGGCTCCTAGTTTTGAAGCCAAGATCACTAATCCCAAGCTGCAGCTCGACCCTGAAAGACCTGGGAATGCTAGTCACTCTAGAAGCTCTGGGTTTCAGTGCCATGTTGGTTTGCTTTGTCTCTTTGTCCTCTCTCCTTGTTTCTGATCCACTTAGGTTGAAGGACCTAAGTTGATGTCCTGTTGCCACTGTGGGCTTCAGAAGGACACCTGCTCTGTTCTGTTAGGTGCCCTCTATCTTTGCATGGGCTACCCAGAGCTTGCAGTTCAGCTCTGGCTCTTAGGCCTGTAGTTTGTTGGTACCCCCTGTGCAGACCTTGGGGACCCTGCCCTTTTGTTTGTTTGTTTTTAGTTTTTATTTTGTGTGTGTTCTACCTTTCCCACTCCTCTGGGTTTCTCTGACATTTGTCAATATCTGGACTTTGATTTCTTTCCCTTGTCAACTCTATAAGCATTAGTGTTCAAAGAACTTCCCAGTACCTGAGTAAGCACGGCACTGTGCAGGGTGAAAAGTGTTGTAGAGATAGATGCAAGGAAACAGTGAAGACAGAATGGTTAGTTCTGAGGACACCAGCAAAAAGGAATTATTGTTTGAACTAGGTTCTCTAAACCAAGTTGGTGTGTAGCAGAGACACTGTGTGCTGAGGTGAGCGTGAGCTAAAGCATGCTGCACTGCTGTATCTTCCTGTGCCTGAGCCTAGTTCTGCTTTGTGACTGCTTGTCAGACTTGTCCCATTCCCCAGCACAGTAGCAAAGACAAAGCAAGTTCACACATTGTCACACTTGATCCTAGTATGGTGCTGTGAGATAGGTCTCACGAGGAATGATTATTTCCACTTACAATCAAGGATACTGGGGCTCAAAGAGGCTTGCTAGGAGGTGGGAAAGGACCCAAGACAAACGACCTGATTGCCAGTGTTTCTGAGGGCTTGCTTGGGCTCAGCCTGCAGTCACAGCC